CAGTATCAATGGAGACAGCATGAGATAGCTAGTGATCTTCCAGAAGTGGGAGCTACCGTGGATGATCTGCTATGCTATGGATGTAAAGTTACAATGGAAGCCACCTTAGACCACAGTCGGAATCCAGTGTGACTGCGAGAGAAAGCTCGCCAGATGAATCTGAAGCTGAACAACAAAAACACAGGTATGTCAGTATGAGTGTCTTATTCAAATCAAGCAACTACACCAAGTGATGGTCCAGTGGTATTGTCACAAGACTACTAACCCAAAGATCCAGGTAACATTTTGGGGACCTGGGTTCGAATGACACCATGGTAGAGTTTGAATTTACCACAAGCCTGCAATTAAGATCACAATGAAATCATTGCCAGTTGTCAGGAAAAACCCACATGGTTCATTAATTAGGGATAGTCAACATGGCTTTGTGTGTGGAAAATCATGTCTCACCGACTTGATTGAGTTTTTTGAAGAAGTAATGAAGAGGATTGATGAGGGCAGAGGGGTGGATGTGGTCTATATGGACTTCAGTAAGGAGTTCGACAAGGTTCCCCATGGTAGAATGGTTAGCAAGGTTAGATCACACAGAATAGAGGGAGAACTAGCCATTTGGATACAGAACTAGCTTGAAGGTAGAAGACAGAAGCTGGTGGTGGAGGGTTACTTTTCAGACTGGAAGTCTGTGGTCAGCGGTGTGCCACAAGGATCAGTGCTGGGTCCATTGCTTTTCGTCATTTATATAAATGATTTGGATATGAATATTGGAGGTATCGTTAGTAAGTTTGTAGATGTTTCCAAAGTTGAAGGTGTAGTGGATACCAAAGAAGGTTACCTCAGACTACAAAAGAGATCTTGATCAAATCGGCCAATGGGCTGAGGATTGGCAGATGGAGTTTAATTTAGATAAACGTGTGGTGCTGCATTTTAGAAAGGCAAATCAGGGCAGGATATAAAAACTTAATGGGAAGGTCCTGGGTCCTCAACAAAGAGAGCTTGGAGTGCAGGTTCATAGTTCACTGATAAGTGGAGTCCCAGGTAGACAGGATCGTGAAGAAGGCATTTGGTATGCTTGCCTTTATTGGTCAGTGCATTGAGTATAGGAGTTAGGAGGTCATGTTGTGGCTATACAGGACGTTGGTTAGGCCACTTTTGGAATACTGCGTGCAGTTCTGGTCTCCCTGCTATAGGAAGGATGCTATAGGAAACTTGAAAGGGTTCAGAAAAGATTTAAGGATATTGCCAGGGTTGGAGGGTTTCAGCTTTAGGGAGAGGCTGAATAGGCTGGGGCTATTTTCCCTGGAATATCGGGGGCTGAGGGGTGACCTTATAGGGGTTTACAAGGTCATGAGGGGACTGGATATGGTGTTTAGCTAAAGTCATTTCCCTGGGGTGGGGGAGTCCAAAACTAGAGGGCATAGGTTTAAGGTCAGATGGGAAAAATTTAAAAAAGGGACCCAAGGGGCAACTTTTTCATGCTGAGGGTAGCGTGTCTATGGAATGAGGTGCCGGGGAAGTGGTGGAGGCTGGTAAAATTACAACATTTAAAAAGCATCTGGATGGGTACACGAATAGGAAGGGTTTAGAGGGATGTGGGCCAATGGGACAAGATTAATTTAAGATATCTGCTCTGCATGGACAATTTGGACCAAAGGGTCTGTTTCCATGCTGTACAGCTCTATGACTCTAATGTCTTTTAGGGCAGGAAACCTGCCATCCATACCTGATCTGGCCTACTTGTGACTCCAGACCCACTAATGTGGTTGATGCTCAACTGTCCCCAAGTCAGTTAGGAATGTGCAATAAATCCTGGCCCAGCCAGTGATAGCACATCTTGTGAATGGATAGGATCAAGGTATAGTTCGCCAATTGATTTAGGAAGTAGTGATGAAAGGATGGACTGGAAGCATGAAGAACACATTAGTTGCTGTAAGAGTGTATTGGACATAACTCAAGTTGGCTGGACGGCTGATTTGTGATGCAGAATAACACCAATGTCCTGCATTGGCTGAGGTTACCATGAAGCACTCGTTCTTAACCTCTCCAATCACCTGAGGCACAGTGGCTCTCAGGTTAAACCACCACCAGTCATCCTTCTCTATTGAGAGAGCAGCCCTGTGATCTAGTAGAACTACAGTGACTTTACCTTTAATTGGGCATACAGAGATGACATGATAGCCCAAGATGATTTCTTGCACAAGGGAATCAGACTCATTATCCCAAAGGATATGAGCAAAAGATTCTGAAGTGTATCCACGCAGTCCATCATGGAATAGAATCCAGTGTGAGGAAAGCAGGAGAAAATGTTCACTTGGGCCAACATAAGCAATGAGATTAAGGACTGCAACAACCACTACAGCGTTTGTAATGAATACCAAACTAAATAAACCGAAAGAGCCACTAAGACACATGACATCCCAGTCAGATTACGGATGAAATCTGAAGTGGACCTCTTCATTCTCAAAGAAACTGATCATCTGGTCACCACCAAATACTGCAGACTACTTGGAGTTAGACCAGATGATGTCAAAGGCTACCAATGCGATTGTAGAAAGTCTACAAGTACATTTCAGCCATTTTGGCATTCAAGACATTTTGCATCACAGTGACATTATTTGTGAATGAAGAATTCAGCCACCTCATGAAAGAGGCAATGGCCTAGTGGTATTATCGCTGGACTGTTAATGCAGAGACCCAGATAATGTTCTGGCAACCTGGGTTCGAATCCTGCCATGGTGGAGTTTGAATTTGAATTCAATAAAATATCTGGAATTAAAGAACCTAATGATGACCATGAATCCATTGTCAATTGTCAGAAAATCCCATCTGGTTCACTGCCATCCTTACCTGCTCTGGTCTACATGCGAGGGCAGACCCACAGCAATATGACTGACTCTGAACAGTCCTTTGGGCAATTAGAGATGGACAATAAATGCTGCCTGGCCAGCGACACCCTCACCCAGTTAATGAATAATAAAAAAAATTGGGAAATGCAACACCAGGTATATTGTCATAACCACAGACAGCTACACACTATCCCATGGGTTTTCTCACCCAGAAATTAACTAGTGATGTGATCAGAAGAGGTTGAGTACCTTGCCAAAGCCAATTCAGCCCCAATTATTTCTTTTTCTTGCAACCTCCAGGGAAGGGAAAATTGCACCCTTATGTATGCAATGCATATACACAGATGAATGAAAGTGGATTAGAATGATTAGAGTTTCCAGCCTGGTTATGTCAATGAATGCTAATTTTCATTGTTGACCATGTATATTGGGTACCTTGGCTAATATGTGCATGCACTGGTTTTTTTGAAAAAGGGGATGGATATAGAAATGTCATGTGACCTCTACGACCACTTCAAGTGCCTTTACATGCTGCCTGTGACAGCTAAAGATACATTACTTGAAGTGCTGATTGTAAAGGGCCAATTGTACTCCCTGATCCCTAAATCTCCAAGGGAACTGCATTTAATTTAACTGCTCAATCCTAACTGACTTATAAAAGGAGATTTCTGTGTTCTCTTGCCACCGTGTTTCTACTATGTCAATAAAGGACAGGCAAACTAGTTAGTATATTCATTGGAATTACTTCCTTTAGCAGTTCTACTCAGCCAGTGCTTTGAAGTCTTATAAAAAATTCACCTGAATATGAAATTAACTGGCGTAACAAAGACTACGGTAGCTTGTACTAATGTAGCGTTGCAAGAATGCATTTGTTCAAAATTATTCGAAAGACAGACTGATAGAAAGAAGATTTCAAACAAGGAAGTGGGCTCCTGGACGAGTGACCAAAAGCTGGTCAATGGGAGGATCTAAATGAAGGAGAAAGAGGCAAGGGTCCGCAGGGCAGGCAAGAGAGAGAATTTGAATCAGCTGAAGGGATGACTGTCAATATTAGGGTGGAGGTGGTAGAGGAAGAGGAGAGATGCGGAAGACAGTGGAGTCAGAGCAACTTATCGAAAAATACAGAGCTGGAGAAGATTGTTGAGGTAAAACTTGACCAAAATCTGATGAGAATTTAAAAATGAGAACAAGGATATGAAACGTCAGTCATTAGTCAGTTTCAGAAGTCTAATTAAAAGATTTCAGGGTAGATCGTAAATGCTCCTGTAGTCAAATGAGAAGCAGACTTAAAAGATGAATTGGATTCAGCTGAATTATTCCAAAATTCTAAAACCAAGAGGTGAAAATGGACACTTGGGTCGTTGAGTTCTTCTTTGTGCTTACTGTATGTCTTAAAGCCACTGGTAAATAAAAAGTTTGCTAATTGCATGGTTTCAATTACATCAAGAATTGAAAGTCACGTTGAAGTGACAAAAAATTATTGCTAGCGTCATCTTGCCTGCGTCCCCCTTTGGTCTTACCTTGAATTCTAAGATATTTTTTTCCACATTGCCAATGATGTCTGTCCCTTTTAATGGAGGTAAAAGTGAGTTCTTTGAAAAACAGCATACACCAAACACACTGTATTTGCAGCACAATGCACATACAAGTACCTTTACTTTTATAATGAGCATAGATCCACATTTAATCCACATAAGCAGAACATAGGCAGGTTGACCTTTTTTAAACAACAGGCATCTTTTTCCATTCCTATTTTATGAGGACACTCTCCCTTAACTAAAAAAAAGGACACCAAATTTAAAATGTTCAAAAGGCTATCTTCAGTGCCAACTGCCAAATTATACCAATGGTCAGTCCAAATGGAACAGACAATGTTTATGCTCACCACAAGCCTCCTCCAAACTTCTAATTTACCTACTCACATCAAGACATCCTTCATTTCCCATCTTGGTCATACATTTATCTAGTTTGCCTCTAAGTTAATCTCTTGATGCAAGTACTAAACATAGGCACGCAGCAAAACTTCAAACTTCCACCCAAAACAGTTGCACTCAAAACTTCAAGCCTCTCAAATACATTGTAAATGGCATCAATTTGAAGCTTGGATTTAAAGTACAAGTAGAAAGGTATCCCTTTAACAGAGAGAACTGAGCTGTTTACCTGGGAATGCATTAATATCGATAACAGCATGTTGGCCAGTTTGGTTATTGATAATTACATCAATGCCAAACAAGGATATGCCAAGTGCTTCACGCAGTGTCCTGGATATTTTTCGGATGACCTCATCGCTTGGTGGCCTGAAGACGCCTTCCACTACATCGAGCTGCAAAGAACACAAACTGAATGTCACCAAAGCAAACTTAAAGGATTTGGCGTTAGCTCACAGAGAACAAGATACCCGGCTTTCCTGGCACTATTCTACACCTACAAATTAAGTATATATCAAACCTTTTCATAATAGAAAATGCCTTAAACAAGAGGCATCAATCACAAATAAACAACTGTTTTTAGCACAGTAATTGTAGGACAGCAAGCAGCTGAATTAGCAAAGCTTAAGGCAGCAGCTCTATAAAAAATATCTGTATAAAACACTACAAAAAACCTGTAGAGAAATAGGTAGTGTCAGGAATTTGTACAACCCCAGTGACAACAGTCACCTCTGGTCAAATGATTTGCCACTGACAGCTCAGAAGGAAGGTGTCGCTTCATTGTTGCTAGGTTAAAATCCTGGCTTCCCTGTCTAACAGCACTGAGAGATTATCTTCACAACACAGGTAGTAGCAGTTCAAGGTGGTCACTGCCATTTTTGCAAAAGCAATTAGGAATGGGCAACAAATGTTAACCATACCAGTGGCACCCACATTCCATGAGTGAATACTAAACATACACAAACACAAAAAGAGGTGTTTTTAAATAGATTCTAAGGGATTAGACAAATCTGCAAGTTTCAAAAATAGTCTGCATCAACTTTTTTTGTTTGAATTGAAAGCTGTCGCCATTAATTTCTTGTTTAGTTTCAGCTCTTTTTGTACTGAATTGGATCAAATTTTGCAAATTTCAACTTCCTTGTTTTCTTCATTGGGGACAGTGAAATTTAGAGCTGAGCAGTGCATCAGCACTGTTAAATGGGTCAAAGCACTCTAGTCTTCAGTGACACAACTGCTTAAGTGCCACTGAACACAGCACAGTAGTGTGTTTAATAAAGTAACTTAGCAGGTGAATGATTGTCTTCCAGTGCTGCCCATCAATGGTGGTATTGAACCAGTCAGTCAATCTTAAATACAGCAGCAAAATCCACACTGGACCAGAATTAAACCACACCCATTCAGAGGAGTTAAATGCTCAGTTTATTTTCCCACTGGTGAAGCCATTCGCATCTTTCAAAAGAGAACTCACTGACAAGGACTTAGCAACCAACCCGGAATTTTATTTTTAAAACCAGTTTCAATCCCATTATATTTTTTAATGCAGAACCTGAAGAAGCCTTGTTTTCTGTCAGTTTTCAAATGGCTTTTACTAAATCACAGTGGATATGACAGCAGATAAAAGTCCTCCCTTTGCTGTTCAAATTTCCTGGAGTCTATAGGCAGCAAAACCAATAACAAGAATAAACACAGGTACAGGGCTTCAGCAACCCAGTGCCAGTAATGGAGAAATGGCTTTCTTACACACTGGACCACATTCAAGCAAAATCCTTTACTACTTCTGTAATCCCAGGAAAGACACTGTAATATGGAATGTCAGCTTGATCCAGCACTTATACATATGCAGTCGCTTATCCAGTAGTTTGGCAAAAGGATCAAGAACATTCAAGTCTCTGGACGATACTTTCAAGCCCACATTTTTACTGCCTGGCCTCCAATTCACAGGTCAAACAAACATTCTACAAAAAACCACAGGACGCTCATGAAACGTTCAACATTATTGCCACTTGGCCCTTCAACTCCATTGTAAATGTTCTTTGATTGTTGCAGTGCCAAACACCAAATCACAGAATTGACACAGCGCAGAAGGGGGCTATTCGACCAATCCTGTCTGCACCAGCTCTCCGAATGAGCATTTCACTTAGTGCCATTCTCCTGCTATCTGCCCGGAATCCTGCACATTCTTCCTTTTCAGAAAACAGTCTAATTCTTTCTTAACTGCTTCAATTGAACCTGCCTCCATTATGTCCTCAGGCACTGCATTCAGACCTTAACCACTGACTGTGCGAATGTTATTTGTCAGGTCACTTTTGCTTCTTTTATTAATTACCTTAAATCAGTGCGCTGTTGCTCGCAATTCCTTCACCAGTGTGAACAACTTCTCCCTCCCGACTCTTTCTGATCTCATGATTTTAAATATCTCTGGCAAACTTTCTTTCAGCCTTCTCCTCTCCAAGGTAAAGAGTCTTAACTTCTACAATCTATCTGTAAACCTGAAGTTCCTCATGTGTGGAACGTCTCCTGAGCTCATTTCACAACACAATGTTCAGATCTTCCTGAAGTGCCGAATCCAGAAATGGATGTAATATTCAAGCGGAGGCTAAACGACTATCATATACAAGTTCAACACCTCCTTGCTTTTGTAATCTATTCCCCTATTAAGGCCTAGGATAATAAATGCTTTAACTGCTCTCTACCTTTCCTGCCATTATTAAAGACTCATACACATCTACACCGAGGTCCCTCTGCCCCGGCAGCCTCTTTAAAGTATCACCCTTTTTTTTATGCTGTCTATCCATGTTCTTCCAACAAAAATAAATGACTTTTATTTCACTGCACTGAGCTTCATGTCACCTGCTCACTACCTTGTCTGTGACCTTCTGAAATACTACACTGTTCTCCTTCCATTTTTCATATTTTGAGGTTTCCCATTGCTCAGCCAAGTCTGGATCTATGCAAATACTACCCCTTGTTTACATAAGCTGTAGGTTGCCCATGGGTCTGTTGTATGCATTGTATCAAAGACCTGTTGAGTCAACATTTCTTTATATTCACACAGTTTATACATTGAGGGGAGTTCTGGTGATCATGCCAACATGCTGAGATTTCTGGACGTGAATTCACAAACAGCATGTGGCTGAAGGTTCTGATAACTTTTGTGTCATCAGGTAGGAAGGAAGCAATGGCAGCAAAAACTTTATTTCTTCCTTATTCCAGCCCTGCTTCTCTCCTGCCAAAACACAACTGCATCAATTCTCTGCAAATCTGTGGAAAAGTTAATCCAGAAAATAACTGTTGTTTCCTCTTCAAACAAAACATCTCCCACAAAAGGAGGTGCAGAGATTGCAGAAGGTGCCCAACCTCAACAGAAATTATAGGCAGTCATCGAGTCATTCAGGATGGAAACAGACCCTTCAGTCCAACCAGTTCATGCCAACCATAGTCTCAAACTAAACTAGTCTCATTTGTCTGTGCTTGGCCCATATCCTTCCAAACCTTTCTTATTCATGTACTTATCTAAACATCTTTTAAATGTTGTATCTGTGCCTGCATCCACCACTTCCTCTGGAAGTTCATTCTACATACAAAGCACGCTCTGTTAAAAAAAAAAAATTGTACCCATGTCCTTTATAAATCTTTCTCCCGACACGTTAAAAATATGCCCCCAGTCTTGAAATTGCCCACCCTACGGAAAAGATACCCACCATTCAGCTTATGTATAGCCCTCATGATTTTAAAAGCCTCTATAAAGGTTACCCCTTAACCTCCCAAGCTCCCGTGAAAAAATGTCCTAGCCTATCCAGCCTCTCCCTATAACTAAGATGTTCCATTCCCAGCAACATTCTGGTAAATCTTTTCTGAACCCTCTCTGGCTATATATTATCCTTCCTATAATAGAAACCAGAACTAGACATAATACTCCAGAAGAGGCCTCGCCAACGTGCTGTACAACCTCAACATGGCGTCCCAACTCTTATACTCAAAAGGTCTGAGCAATGAAGGCAAGTGTGCTAAATGCCTTCTTAAACCACTCTGGCTACATGTGATGCAAACCAAAGGTTAGTACTTACCGCAGTTAAATCAGATGAGGATTCTGGTTTTGAGACATTGTGGCTGTTGAAAAATATTGTTTTTCTGTCTGCAAACAATAGAAATTTTACAACAATTACTATTTACCCAAAACTTTTCAACAGTTATGTTTTTTTTGTAGAAGAGAGAGCATATAATATATTCTCTAAACACTTCACAGATTTTATTTTCTGAACTCAGCTGATCTACTGAATACCAAACCCAGCTGACATGCTCAGCAGTTGAGGTATTTCTCAGTGAGGGATTGCTATCAATGCTATTCTCCAACATGGAGGGAGTGAGATCAGGATAGAAATGTGGCATTTCCAATTCTTAGCCCGGAATGTTCTAATGCAAGGATGAAGTTACTTTTTCCGGTAACTTTGTAAGGTGTCCCTTCTGCAGCACAAAAGTGGAAAGAAGTATTTCATATTTGATATCACAGAAAGGATGCAACAAAATTCATTCTAAAACAAGGTTGGAGGTTTGATGGCCAAATTAGTTCAGAAAAATTACTAATGAGCAACTTGAGGTGCACTAGATGGAAGAAAATTATTTCTCATCAGATCTGTCCAACCATTAAAGAAAATTGAAGAACTGTGGATGCTGGAAATTGGAAACAAAATCACAAATAGCTGGAGAAACTCAGCAGGTCTGGCAGCATCTGCAGACAGAAAGCAGAGTCAGCGTTTTGAGTTGGGCGAGGTCACTGGACCCGAAAAGTTGACTCTGCTGCCAGACCTGCTGAGTTTGTCCAGCTATTTCTGATTTGGTTTCTGTCCAGCCACTAACCTGAAACACCTCTTGAGAAATTCTTCAGTGATGGCCGTTCAACCACGCTGTAGGACTCTCCAACAACAAAGACTTTGTATAGCACTGCGTTGTGGTTTATAAAACTCTGGATGACACACTGGGGCTTTATGTCTTTCAAACCATCTTCATTGAAAATGATTGCCATCTGTGGATGCAAACAGTCTATATCATTCAGGTTATAAAGGGTTATCTACTTTTTGTTTACTCTTTCTCCAAAAGCTCAAATCTGTGTATTTGTACCTTTCCTACTTGTTACAATCTTCAGACTTTGAGTAATTACATCTTCAGAGCACCAGTCCTAAAGCAGCTCATCTCTTCCCCATCTTGCTGCATCTTACTCTTTTGGTTTTGGTTTCTCTTTAATAAAACTCAAACTATTACTGCTAAACAACAAACTTGCCTTTCATGTCCTAAGCACATGTCAAATGGCTCCACAGCTTGCGAAGTAACTTTGGGGAGGGCAGGGTCGGGGGAGGTTAGTCACTATTGTAAATGTAGGGAAGCTTCAGATTATCACATAGTAAACTCCCACAGACAACAGAAGGGCTAAGAATCAGACTAGATCATATTAGGGAATATTTATCAACATGGCTTCCCATTGTCTATATCAGAAGTAATTCCTCACTTCACCATAAAAAGGACTAACACTGTTAATTATTTAATTATGAAGTTTTTAAATTATGAGCCAGCACCCAAATTTTTGCTAATACAGGTATACAGTGTACTATTGTCTGGAAATCTAGTGCCATCTAGGGGCAGGTTCATGAGTTACAAGCAGAATGTATATCTGCCTTCTCTAAAGTTATCCAAATCACAGCTGGGTGTAAGAGAATTTACAGGGATTTCTACAATAAAAAGTGCAGAGTCAAATGTATATGCAGCCCCTGACTGTATTATGTACAAGAAGAAATGTCATATTTATACATAGCCATGTGATAGCATTAATTAATTAATATTCTTATGCAGGTCATATCCAATACCAAACAGGGAACTGTCCAAAAATTTAGATAGGCTCCAACTGGAAGTAGTGCAAGATTAGGGATTCAGATGAGAGAATTGGAGACAGAAGAGGGTCAGCAATCCAAAACCTATGACATTGCAATTCTACAGATGTAGGCCAGAACAGCATCTGGGCTCCCTATCGTAAGTCAGGGTTTTACATAAGCCAGGAAATCTGAAGAATTCAGACGAGCTTGCCGCTTGAACAAAGAGAGAAAACATATTAATTTCCAACTAAAATTTGACCAAGCTCTATTCTACTCTCTGCACCTCCCAGTAATAAGGTATTCCAATATCTTTGTTTTAAGATTTAATGCCCTGGGTTATCATCACAATCCCAGCAAAACAGATTTTAAATTGCCAGTGCCTAAAATACATTAAGTTTTACTATAATCATAAACACCAAGCATAGAAATGTAAGCTGCTCATTAAGACATGACTGTGGGTTTATCAAGAAATTTTATTTATGGTGATCCCTTTCCTCAATTACTAAATGAAAAATGACAAGGACTGAGTTCATTGCCTGAAGCATATTTCAGACCGCTTCTCCAAGGGTCTTTTCTTGCCTCCGACACAGCATAGCCAAGGCATTCTATTTCCACCTACAGTCAATCTGAGGAAGAGAACAACTGAAAGGTATTCTGCGAGTTCCCTGCCTGTGGCATTTTTCACTGCCTGAGGCAACATCATCATTCAAAGCCAGCATTTGTAGGGCCTGGCAGATTGGACCCACTTTACCAGGATAAAAATAAACTTGAGAGACTTGTGGCTTTTCTGAAACCGACAATAACCACAGTGTAGCCTTTCCTACATGATGATTGTGGTTCTCCTCCTGACACAGATTTTATGCAGCTATTCCTTGTTTATCACTCCCAATGGGCTCCTGAAAAACAGTGTGCTAAATGAAAATCCATTTCCCAGAAGCAAGCAGCTAATAAAAAAGGGGGGTGGTGGTGTCAGAATCCCAATTCCTAACTTTTAGGACAAAATCCTGTTAACTTACTTGAACCGAGGTCAGTCAGGTGGACTTCATAGAATATGAGTTCCCCGATTGGACCAGATTAACAGCCCCAATCAGGGAGTCTTGGCTGAGATATAAACAAAAAAGTGTCAGGAGGTTCCGAGACAACAAGGTGCAGAGCTGGATGAACACAGCAGGCCAAGCAGCATCATAGGAGCAAACAGGCTGACGTTTCGGGCCTAGACCCTTCATCAGAAAAATCAGGAGGTTCTGTTCACTCAGAGCTGGCTCAGAGGATGCTAAGGGCTCTCCATGTATAAACAAAGTGTAACTTGGTAACAGGATACCAGCCACTGCAGAGTTATTTCAAACATGGCTAATATAAAAACTGAATTATAAATAAAGAAATAATGGCAGCTTATCAGAAAGGTACATTGATAATCATACAGACTTGAAAAAAATCAGATGTGCAAAAGTAGCCTAAGTAATTTATAGCATGTTTTCAAGATAGCATCTTAGAAAAGCACGTTCTAGAGCTGAGCAGAGAGTATTATGCATGGGATAGGACTAATGATCTCAGAGTGATGGTGTCCTAGGTAATAGGCTATCATCTGATCGAATTTTACAATCAGTTTGAGGATGATGGGAGTGGGTCCAAGACTATTATTTCAAATTTAAATTGGGGCAATTGTGAAGAGATGAAAACAAAGCTGGCTGAAGTGAAATGGAAATTTAGACATTGGGATAGGTCAATAGAGATGCAGGCAAACAAGGGGATTTTTCAGATTATGCAAGAAAGAAACTTTCCAATGAGAAAGAAAATTCTAAGGGGAGGACCCACCATCTGAAGAACTTAAAGAAAATGTACATAATTATGCAAGGATAGGCGTCAGGTCAGAAAATTGGACCGAACATTAAAAAAGCAGCAAAGAATAACCAATAGATTAATAACGAGGGCAACATCATACTGAGAGAGAAAGCTAGCTAAAAATATAAAAACAGATAGTGAGGCTTTCTATAGACAGTTAAAAATGAAGAGATTTAACAAAGTGAGTGTTGGTCGTAAGAAAGCAAGTCTGGCGAATTATTATTTGAAAATAAAGAGATGGTATATGAATTAAACAGATACATTGCATTGGTTTTCCCTACAGAGGATACGAATAACATCCTAAAAATAGCTGTAAATTAGGAAATGGAAGGGAGGGAAGAGCTCAAGAAAATCACAATCAATCACGAGGGACATGGTACTGAGCAAAGTGTTCTAGATATGGGCTGACAAGTCCACATTCTTACGGACACATTCTAGGGTCTCAAAGGAGGTGGCTAGTGAGATAGCTGATGCATTGGTTCTCATTTTTTTTTCATAATTTCATTGATTTAGAGAAGATTCCGTTAGATTAGATATTAGAAAATGGAACCAATTTATTCAAAAAGGGAAGGAGAAAGGAAGCAGAAAACTGTAGGACTGTTAGCTTAACATTTGTCATAGGGAAGATGTTAAAAGCTGTTACTAAAGAAGTTAAAACTGGGCAGTTGGACATGTTCAAGGCAATCAGGCAGAGTCAACATGCTTTTGTGAAAGAGAAATCACGTTTAACTAACTTATTAAAGTTCTTTGTAGAACAAACATGTACATGTACTGCTGCATTTAGATTTTCAGAAGGCAACTGACAAGCTTCCACTTCAAAGGTTATTGCAAGAAATAGGAGCTCATGATGTAGGACATAACAATAATGGCATGGATTAAAGATTGACTATCCAACAGTAAACAGTAGGCTTAAATGGGTAATTTTCCAGTTTGCAAGATGCAATGACTCATGTGATACAGGAATCAGTGATGGGACCTCAATCTTTTACATTGTATATAAAAGACTTGGATAAACAGATGAAAAAAGGGACAGTTGCTAAATTTGCTGATGACACAAACTTGGACGTGAAAATAAATCATGGAGACGTATGGAGACCACAAATGAATACAGAATAGGTTAAATGGATGGACAAAGAACAGGCAAATAGAGCATAATGTGAGAAAATTGCCCATTTTGAAGAATGAAAAAAATGGTGAGGAACTGCAGAGGGATCTGGGTGACCTAGTATATGAAATGCAAAAGGCAAATATGAAGGTACAGTAAGTAGTTAGCAAAGTTAATTGTATGTCATTGTTTATTGTAAGGGGAAATGAATACAAAATTAGGGAGGATAATCTTTAGTAGACAGAGGCCACATCTGGAGTAACGTGCATGGAATTGGTCTCCTTATTTAAGGATGTAAATGCATTGGAAGCAGTTCAGAGAAGGTTTCCTAGACCTGGAATGGCTGTGTTGTCCTTTGAGGAAAGGTCAGACAGGCTAGCATCGTATCCCATAGAGTTTAGAAGAGAAGACATGAGGTGATTGAAACATAAAAGATCCAGGAAAGTTTTGAATGGGTGCCCGTAGAAGGGATGATTCATCTTGTTGGAGAATCGAGATTTAGAGATAACTGTTAAAAATATGGGGTTGCCCATTTAATACAGACATGAGGAGAAATATTTTCGTAGAGGGTCAAGAGTCTTTGAAATGCTCTTCCATAAAAGAGTCTTGATTAATTTTAGGGTCGAGTTAGCTAGATTCTTGATAAGCAGTCAGTTGAACCTCATTGACAGGGTACCTTCGAGAAACAATGATTTGGAATAGAATTAGTAGTCACATAGAAAAGGTAGGTTGATTAGGGAGTGCCTGCATGGATTTATAAAGGGGAAACTTGCTGAAGAGATAAAGAAAGGGTTGACGACAGTAATTTTGCTGATGTGCGGACATGCACTTTCAAAAGGTCACACAAACTTGAGAGAAAAGTTATAGCTCATGTAATAAAAAAGGACAGTAGCATTATGCTACATGTAGCTACATCCACAGCACTGTTTGGGAAAGAATTCCAAGGTTTGACCTAGCGACAGAGAGGTAACAATGAAAAATGTGTATATCAGCATGGTGTGACTTGAAGGGAACTTGGACACAATTGCCAATTGTATGCACCAGTCGTCTTTGACCTTCTAGGTTAATGGATATTTTTCAGGCTGGAAGAAGGCTTATGAGTTCCCCAGAGTTGGTATTCTTGGTTTTCCTGATGTATATTAACAATCTAGATTTTGGTGTGCAGGGACAGTTTGTGGATGATGTAATACTTGGAAGAATTGTAAAATATGA